ATTCTGTTGTTTTGTATGTCCTTCCAAAATGAGCAACTTAACATTTTCTCACATAATCCTTCAATTGCCAACTTTTTGCCTACCTTCTTAACCTATTGTTATCTCTGTAAATTTTGTATCCCTCTCACAAACAGCCTTTCCACTTATTTTTTTGTGATCTGCAAATTTGTGCGTGGTAGATGTCCTTCATTCCACCAAGTCATTAATATATATAGTAAACAGTTGTAGTCCCAACACTGATCCCTGTGGAACCGCACTGGTCACAGGTCACCAAGCTAAAAAAAGCCCTATCCCGAATCCCCGTTTCCTGCCCATGGGCCAATTCTGTATTCATGCCAATATACTACCTCCAGCACTGTGGGCTCTTATCTAATGACTTCACCTTTTGTAAGAAACATCTTCTGGAAGTCCAAATACAACACATCTGCCGGTTCCCCTTGATCAATCTGGCCAAGACTTCCTCAAAAAACTAATAAATTAGCTAGACACGATTTCCTTTTCATGAAGTCATGTTGACTCTGCTTGAGTTGGTTATGATTTTCTAAATGTTCTCCTTTTACTTGCTTAATAATTGATTACATTACACTTCCAACACATTTCCAACAATATTATCACTGGACTGATAATCCAGAGACCCAGATAATGTTCTAGGGTCCTGGGTTCAGATCCCACCATGGCAGATGGTGGAATTTGAATTCAATAAATATCTGGAATTAAGAGTCTAATGATGACTGTGAATCCATTGTTGATTGTTGGAAAAACCCATCTGGTTCACTAATGCCCTTTAGGGAAGGAAACTGCCATCCTTACCTGGTCTGGCCTACATGTGACTCCAGACCCACAGCAATGTGGTTGACTCTTAACTGCCTCCTGGGCAATTAGGGATTGGCAATCGATGCTCCCTGGCCAGCGATGCCCTCATCCAGTGAATGAATAGAGTAAAGAAAAAAAAATAGACATCAGACTAATCAGCCTATTGGTTACCTGCTTTTTGCCTCCCTTTCTTTTTAAACGGGAATGTTACATTAGCAGTTTTCCCATCCTCTAGTACTTCTCCAGAATTCAAGAATTTTAGGAAAAATTTACTGTATCTGTAGCTACCTCTTGTAGGATCTGAGGATGCAGGCCATCAGGGCCTGCTTTCAGCACCATTAGTTTGTCTAATACTACTTCTTTAATAATGCTAATGGTACCTAATTCCTCCCAAATATTCTTTAGTATTAATGTAATATTTGAAATATCTTCTGTTATTGACCAGACCAGACCAGACCGGTCAAGATATGTTAAGAAGGTAGCTTAGATCCCAACATTTTCTTATTTTAAAGGTAAATGTAACGTCCTGTGTTCCAAATGCAATTTGATCGGTCAAACAATTCGATGTTAAACAAAGCACAATTTATTCATACACTATGGTAAAAAACAAAACAAAAATAAGAAATAAATTCGCTTAGCTGTAACTCTAATGGAATGCTTAGCAAAATAATAGATACTGTAACTATCACTAATTAACTGTTCCAACATAGTGACATCCAATAAACACACCCTTAGTAAAAGGCAAATTCAGAAAATAGATTGTCTCATGCAGTTGTCCAATCCAGGAGAAAAGAACATCAAAAGACAATTATGAGAAAGAGAGAAAACTGCAGTTTTCAGTTGTAGCAAAGAGAAATATGGCAGCTTTCAACAACCCCAGCAGCTTCTGCTACTGAAAGCTAAAACAAATGAGGCACCACTGTGACTCAGTGGTTAGCATTGCTGGCTCACAATGCCAGGGACCTGGGTTCGATTCTAGTCTCGGGCGACTGTGTAGAGTTTGCACAATCTCCCCACGTTTATGTGAGTTTCCTCTGGGTGCTTTGGTTTCTTCTCACAATCCAAAAATATGCATTTTAGGTGGATTGACCATGCTAAATTGCCTATAATGTCCAGGATTTGCAGGCTAGGTGGATTAAATTGGGAAATGTAGGATTACAGGAATAGGGTGGGATGCTGTTCAGAGGGTCAGTGTAGACCCAAAGGGCCGATTTGCCTGCTCCAAAACTGTAGGAATTCTATGAAGATGATTCTAAAGATCTTGGTTCTGAGGGAGTTTGACTACACCCATTCAGGCTGCTTCTATTGTTCCAAGTTTCGTAAAGGAAATTTCAAGGCCTCCCAAGTTGTTTACTGGCTTTCCAACTAGGCAGCTTGGTACCTCTGTCTTAAAACCTCCCTCTTTAAAAAAAAAAGGACAAAATAACCTCTTTAACGTCATAGTATTGTCATACTTCCGCTATAAAGACTGATGCAAAATATATGTTTAAATCCCCTGCCGTTTTCTTGTTCCCCAAACTGTCTACCCAGATTCATTTCTCAAAGACTTAGACACACTTTGACCTCTCTATTATATATTTAAAGAAGCCCTTATTATGAGTTTTTATATTCTGTGTTAGTTTGCCATCGTAGTTTATTTTCTCTGTTTTTATTATCTTTATCGACCTCCTTCGCTAGATTTTTAATTAGAACATAGAACAGTAGAGCACAGCACAGGCCCTTTGGCCCACAATGTTGTGCCGACCTATTATCCTACTAAGATCAATCTACCCTGCATACCCTACATTTTACTATCTCCATGTACCTATCCAAGAGTTGCTTAAAAGTCTCTAAATTATCTGACTCCACTACCACTGCCGGCAACGCATTCCACATGCCCACCACTCTCTGTGTGAAGAACCTACCTCTGACATCTCTCCTATACCTTCCTCCAATCACCTTAAAAGTACGCCCTCCTGTAATAGTCATTTCCGCCCTGGGAAAAAGTCTCTGACTATCCTCCCTGTTTATGCCTCTCATCATCTTGTTCACCTCTATCAAGTCACCTCTCATCCTTCTTCACTCCAATGAAAAAAGTCCTAGCTCCCTCAACATTTCCTCATAAGACCTGCCCTCCAGTCCAGGCAGCATCCTGATAAATCTCCTCTGCACCCTCTCTAAGGCTTCCAAGTCTTTTCTATAATGAAGCGATCAGAACTGAACACAATATGCCAAGTGTGGTCTAACCAGAGTTTTATAGAGCTGCAGCATAACCGCGCGGCTCTTAAACTTAATTCCCCTGCCAATGAAAGCCAACACACCATACGCCTTCTTTACAACCCTATCAACTTGAGTAGCAACTTTGAGGGATCTATGGACGTGGACCCCAAGATCTCTCTGTTTCTCCACACTGCCAAGAATTCTGCCATTAACCCTGTATTCTGCATTCAAATTCAACCTTCCAAAATGAATCACTTCACACTTTTCTGGGTTGAATTCCATCTGCCACTTTTTAGCCCTGCTGTGCATCCTGTCAATGTCCAGTTGCAACCTACAACAGCCCTTCCTCTCTATCCACAGCTCCACAACTCCACCAACATTCGTGTCATCGGCAAACTTACTAACCCTCCCTTCCACTTCCTCATCCAAGTCATTTATAAAGACCACAACGAGCAGAGGTCCCAGAACAGATCCCTGCGGAACACCACTGGTCACGGAGCCCCAGGCTGAATACTTTCCATTAGTCTCAGTCTTCGGGTTATTAGTGACTTTGACCTCCTTTTATGTTTTTCTTTCAACTTAATACTGTTCTTAACTTGTTTGGTTAGCTATGGTTGTTTTATCCCTCTCTTAAAATCCTTTCTTCTTAACCGAGATGTGATTTTGCTAAGAGCTATGAATTAGCTCCTTCAGTGTCTGCTGCTGCTTGCTTACTGTAATTCCTGCTAATCTATCTGCCTAGTTTACTTTGGCTAACACTATGCTCATTTCATTGCAGTTCCCTTTAATTAAATTAACCACAATAGTTTCCAATTCAAATTTTTCTTTCTTGAACTAAATATTGAATTGTATCATGTCATGATCACTGCTTCCTAGGGGATCTTTTACTCTGAGATCATTTATTAAATCGACCTCATTTCCCATTACCAGATCCACGATAACCTCCCCGCTAGTTGGCTCTATTTCGGGAGGTGATGGTCCAGTGGTATTATCAGTTGACAGTTAATCCAGAGACCCTGGTAATGTCCTAAGGTTCCTGGTTCAAATAATGCTGTGGCAGATGGTGGAATTTCAAATCAATAAATATCCGGAATTAGGAGTCTAATGATGACCATGAAACCATTGTCAATTGTCAGGGGAAAGAAAATGCATCTAGTTCACTGACATCCTATAGGGAAGAAAACTGCCAATGTGTTACCCAACACAGTTCTTTTAATTTCTGCACTTATCAAATACGTTCTGAAAATCTAAATACAATATATCCACTGATTCCCTTTATCCACAGCACAAGTTACTCCTTCGAAGAACTCCAGTAAATTAAACAAACATGATTTCCCTTTAACGAAACCATGTTGGTTCTGCCTGATCACCTTGAATTTATCCAAGTGTCCTTAATCATCTTAATAATAGCTTCGAACATTTTTTTGTGATACATGTTAACGTAACTGGCATGTAGTTTCCTGCTTTCTGGCTCGTCCCTTTTTGAATAATGGAGCTATATTAGCTATTTTCTAATCTAAAAATACATTTCCCAAATCTAATGTGTTTTTGAATTATCTCTACGTCTTGTAAGACCCTTGGATGAAATTCATCAGAACCCAGTGACCTGTCGCACTTGCAACAATGTACTGTGCTACTTCCCTGATAATTATAATTTTCTTGAATTTCTCCCTCCCTTTCAATTCCTGGTTTACAGCTATTTCCAGAAAGTCACTTTCTATCTCTTCATTTTTCGTTACAAATTCCCAAAACACATTTTCTATAGGACAAATACTTAAACTCTTTTTTTAGGTATTTGAAGAAACTTTTCCTGTCTGTTTTTTTATGTTTTTGCCTGGATTATCTACCTTGGTCTACTTAAGAGGTTGCAAATACCGGAATTCATTGAATTAGCTTTACCACAGTAGCTAACTTTCCTTCGGGCAGCAAATGAATTGTTAATAATAAATCTACACTATAAAGCATGTTCTAAATCCACTTCCCTCCAGCTTGCCTTTTCAGCTGAACACCACCAGTACAGGAGATGGAGGAGATGCTGTAGAAAGACATTGGAAAACTTCACCAAGAAAAGAGCTGACTGCACAACAGAAAGAGGGAATACGAATGGTCAGGAAAGTGATGCTGTCCTTGGATGAAGTGGGTGGTTTGGATGAAGTCTTCACTTTCAGGTGAGGAAAGTTCCAATTTGGAAAAGATTATCAAAAACAAATATTGGATAACAGGGAGAGTCAAGAGAATTTATAATGAGGATTAAGGATATGGCTTTGAAACTAAACAAATATTCTTGCTTGAGTTCGCTGAAGTATCTAGTGTAAATTGATAGTACTTTATAAAAAGTGCTAGAGAAATTAATTGGATTTATAGTAGATAAACTACTCTGCAAGGATATGGGAGCCAAGTGAGAATAACAGAGAAACATTCAAGGATTTGCAAAATACTTGGAGACTGGCAAGTTAAGAGGTGAAGTCCAAATAAGGGAGAGAGAAATGTAACCTGATTAAGAGTTACTGTGCATTTATGTGAATGTGTGGTGTACAGTAAATAAGATTGGGGAATTTTGAGTACAGATTACCACATGGAACCATGATGTGGCAATAACAGATGCCTGGCTCAAGGTGTTTAAAAAAGATTGGAAGGGTAGTGGGCTGTCAGTATTGGTTAAGGAGAGCATTGTTGTTCTGGAAAGAGAGTGTGTCTGAGAGGGTGCAAACATAGAAGGAATTTGAACAGAGGTAAGGAACATAAATCTTACAAATATGTAGTCTAAAGACCATCATAGAATCCCTAAAGTGTGTAAATAGCCATTCGGCCCATCAAGTCCATCCCACCCAGACCTACTCACCAGTGAGAAGGACCTTGACGTTTGTGAGGACAGCATGAAACAGGCAGATATGCTCGAACAGGTTGATGTTAGGAAGGAGGATGTGCTAGAAATTTTGAAAAACATGAGGATAGATAAGTCCCCTGGACAGATGGGATATACCCAAAGTTTCTACGAGAAGCGAGGGAAAAGATTGCTGCCCCTTTGGCGATGATCTTTGTGTCCTCACTGTCCACTGGAGTAATACCAGATGATTGGAGGGTGGCAAATGTCATTCCCTTGTTCAAGAAAGGGAATAGGGATAATCCTGGGAATTATAGACCAGTCAGTCTTACTTCTGTGGTGGGGTGGGCAAATTATTGGAGAAGATTCTGAGAGATAGTATTTATGATTCGGGGAGATGATGGCCCAGTGGTATTATCGCTGGACTATTAATCCAGAGACCCAGATAGTGTTCTGGGGACCCGGGTTCAAATCCCGCCGCAGCAGATGGTGGAATTTGAATTCAATAAAAATATCTGGAATTAAGAATCTAATGATGACCATGAATCCATTGTTGATTGTCGGAAAAACCCATCTGGTTCACTAATGTCCTTTAGAGAAGGAAACTGCCATCCTTACCTGGTCTGGCCTACATGTTACTCCAGACCCACAGCAATGTGGTTGACTCTCAACTGCCACTGGGCAATTAGGGATGGGCAATAAATGCTGCCTGGCCAGTGACGCCCTTATTTCGTGAATGAATAAAGAAAAAAAAATTTCGAAAAGCACAGTTTGATTAGAAATAGTCAGCATGGCTTTGTGAGGGGCTGGTCATGCCTCACAAGCCTTATTGAATTCTTCGAGGATGTGACAAAACACATCGATGAAGGCAGAGCAGTGGATGTGGTGTATATGGATTTTAGCAAGGCATTTGATAAGGAACCCCATTGTAGGCTCATTCAGAAAGTAAGGAGGCATGGGATTCAGGGAAATTTGACTGACTGGATACAAAACTGGCTGCCCAATAGAAGACAAAGGGTGGTAGTAGCACCTACCACTCTCTGTGTAAAAAACCTACTTCTGACATCTCCCCTATACCTTCCTCCAATAATCCTAAAATTATGCCCCCTCGTGCTAGTCGTTTCTACCCTGGGAAGAGGTCTCTGGCCATCCACTCTATCTACGCCTGTCATCATCTTGTACACCTCTATCAAGTCACCACTCCTTCTTCGCTTCAATGAGAAAAGCCCTAGCTCCCTTAACCTTTCCTCATAAGACCTGCCCTCCATTCCAGGCAGCAACCTGATAAATCTCCTCTGCACCTTCTCGAAAGCTTCCACATCTTTTCTGTAATGAGGCAACCAGAACTGAACACAATATTCCAAGTGTGGTCTAACCAGAGTTTTATAGATGTGCAGCATAACCTTGCGGCTCTTAAACTCAATCCCCCTGCCAATGAAAGCCAACAAATCATATGCCTTCTTTACAACCCTATCAACTTGGGTGGCAACTTTGAGGGATCTATGGATGTGGACCCCAAGATCCCTCCGTTCCTCCACACTGCCGAGAATCCTGCCATTAACCCCGTATTCTGCATTCAAATTCGACCTTCCAAAATAGAACATAGAACATTACAGCGCAGTACAGGCCCTTCGGCCCTCGA